CGCTCCCAGCAATGGTTCATTGTACCAGCCAGCCCAGCCGGCTGCTGGATCCCCCTCCGGATGCCCCCCGGATCCCCCCTGGATCCCCCCTGGACCCCCTTCCGGATCCCCCACGGATCCCCACGGATCCCCCTCCGGATCCCCTCTGGATCACCTCGGCGCTGTCGCTGGGGACCCCAGCCTGCCCGTGGAGCTGGTACAGTGGGGAACGGGCATCGGGGGGCTCTGGTCCCCAGCAGGACCAGGAGACGCTGGCGTGGATTCCCAGGCTCTGCCTGCGGGGATTTGCCCGGTGACAGGACGCACACAGCAGCACCCCGTCCCTCGGGCACAGGCTCTCAGGGGCAGGGCAGAACCGTGGAGGGGCAGTGAACAGCCCACCGTGCCTGGTAATGGCAGGTAGCTCTGGGCTGTGTTCCAGGGGCGTCCCACACGGGGTGGGTGTCCCCACCACCCCACCCAAGACAGGGTGCAGCTCTTACGTGGCTCAAGCCAGTTCTGTCCGTGGATTGTCCACTAGACATCGGACCCCTTATCTGCCCCTTATAAAAGGTGAAAGTTGCTGGTGGGATGGCTCCAAGATTTGGCATCGGTCACACCAAGCCACAAACTTCAGTGAGCTCTGGGATTGGAGTAAGCCACCCAGACCCTGTCTGAGTGTCCCTGCACCCTGCCTGAGCCCCAGGCATGCTGTGTGATTCCCCCCTGCGCCCTGTCTGAGCTCCCCTGCATCCTCTCTGAACCCTCCTGGAGCTGGCTCTGTCCCGGCTCTGTCACACTGTCCTCACACACAGCTGGACTGGAGTGGGATCCTTCCCATCTCTCCACAATCTTCCTCCTCCTCCTCCTCCTCCTCCTCGCCCTGCAGTTAACCCTCACGAGGTGACCTCTTTCCTCTGTGACAGCAGCTCCGGCTTCCACGTTTCTTTCGGCGCTCTCCCGGGGTGCGCCAGGGCGGGTGGGGGCCCTGGGTCCCACCAGGCTGGGGACCTGCTCCTTAACTTGTCACCTCCTGACTCATCCTGAGAGGGAAGGAAGCCTGGGGGGCGTCCCTCAGATCCATGCAGTGCA